CCAACATTGTGCAGCAGATGCAGACGGTGCAGTTCTCGGACCAGACACGACAAGTCAGAGGTCCTGTCTGGGCGATCGTCCTTAATCTACTGCGCCCCGGATGGGCCCCAACGACGCGATCGGCGTGGAGCTACCCGGCCAGTGACAACACGTAAGAGGAATGGGTCTTCCATGGTGAGGTCTACACAGGCAACCCGCACATCGACCAGCACCATCTCAAGGATCTGGAGAGTGCTGCACGTCGGCAGGTATGGCGACAGGCGAGTGCCCAGTACGCTGGAGGTGGGTTGGGAAATGGACTTGCTAATGATTCGTATCGTGCTTTCCTCCGCCAACTTGCCGCTTCCCCCAATGGAAAGAGGTTGGCAGGGACAATGACGATGATTGCATCAGCAGGTTGTTGGCCAAAAGCCCGAAAACAGGAGTTGACCAAACGTTGTGCAGGAGACAATGTGTGTGACAGATGCCGCGAGAAGCCCGAGACCCTCACCCATAGATACTGGGAGTGTAATAAAATGCAGGTTCTAGGGCGTACAAGTCTTCTGACGAATTCGCTTTGTCATGCGACGACCTAGCTTGAAACTGCCGAAGGTTTTTGGCTGGGGGGGCTCATCCCTGAACCTTGGACCAGGGTCCCCGAGCCTGTAGGTTGCGATTCCTGGACTGCGACGGGTGTGAACGAGGTTGAACGTGGGTGCCTTGGCACTGGTTCACGCGAGTGTCCCGTCCTGGCGACGCTTCGGGTGGACCCGACTCGAAATGGCCTAGGATGCGGCGTGTGGCTCTTGTTGTTGCTAACTTCTCCTCCCTCACCCCTCTGGCCTTGAAGGTTTCGATATTCGGCCCCCTCTGCGGCCACAGACAGGTTGTCGCGAGGGGGGAGCTGGCAGCGTTTTACCTTGCCCTGTTTGTCAGATGCGGATCGATGCTATATGTAACTGATGTTGAGCCCCTGGCTGCAAGTTGGTATGCCCAAACCTACTTCTGTCCGAAAGGTCCTGGCGCTGTTTCCTGGGCCATGACAGCCGAGCTCATGAGTAATGGAGCGCATAGTCAAGTAACGGTTTTGTTTACTATAAGTCACCAGGATGATGATGACATTGTTGCTGGCCGCTCTGAAAGTAGCCTTGTACCAACCAGCACGGTAGCCGACGAATTGCCGGATTGAACTGCGAACTTGCGCAGGATCCACGAGTCCTCCCGACACCAGGTGCACCTGGTGGAGACTAAAGCCTTGCGTGTTAGGATGAAGCTCCTAAGGGCCACTCTCGATTGTTTTGCAACCGAGACGGTCGTGGCCCTGGAAGCGATGGATAGGACAAGGGAGGGGGTCCCACCCCCCCCTGACCCCCCTCCCCGCCGCGCTGTTGCTGCTCTCGCCCCGATCATGTCGGCTCATAGGCTCTCGGAGTGTAAATATAAGTGTCTGAAGTGCTGCGGCTCGGCATGTCGAGCCACTTCGGTTATGTGGTGGAAAACTGCTTGCCCCGCTTTCATCAACGTAGATGGTACAATCCTGTCCCCGTCAGGGGTAGGCGTTAGAATCCATGTTGCGAGGGGCTGATTGCGCCCATCCCACCTCCCAAACTACCACTCCCATCTAAGAGTCTGGTTCTGCGGGCATTGCGAGGGTACCGCTGACAAGCAGGTGTGTTCCCTTGGCGATCCATGTTCGCCCCCCCCACACGTACGGGGCGTGAATATCTAGATCTAAGAAAGAAGACCCCAAATGTCCTGAGCAAGGCCGACCAAGCAAGGCGGCAGCGAGGCTTTTCTTTTTGGTGTGATCACCTACGGTACTGGCAGCGCTAATGGTTCCTATTCCTACTCCTACTCCTATCCTTATCCCGCTTGGCCCGCGCTTGCCCCAGCCGCCCTGGGCCCTGCCTTTTTGTGCCCATTGTTTTTTGTTTGCTTTTCTCCCCTCTCTGTCCTTGCGCCCTGATGACCAAATCTTTGGGCACCGCGCATTGCGGAGTCCCCGCGGCGCGCGCCGGCCGTCCCGAAGGAGTCCTAACGACGCGCGTTGGTTGCCCGCGGCACGGCGCACAGACAAGTGGCTGACAACGGGCAAAGCGCTGGGCAGAGCGAGTGAGCGTCAAGCAGCTCCTGGAGACAAAGCGCAAGGGAGTCCCCGCGAGGCTATAAGGTCACGGAGCGCGTGTGGGGGGTGTCTTTTCGGTGGACTTCCATGTGGGGCCACGAAAAATTTAAAGGGGTGTTCCGACATGTACATGCGGTGGGCGGGGCGCCGCACGTGGTGGACCCTGCCACTGAACGTGTGATGGGTGTGCCGACATGAAGATGCAATGGGCTTGCCCACGTGGACATGTAGTGCTCGGGGAGCCGCATGTGGATCCTGTCGCTGGGGCGTTCGGTGGAGCTCCCTATGGGGCCACGAAGCGCGTGAACGATGTGCCTTAGGGGTGGAGCTCCCTTTGGGGCCACGAAGCGTGTGAGGGGTGCACCGACATGAACGTGCGCTGGGCGGGGGGCCGCGTGTGGACCCTGCCACTCGGGCCTCCGGTGGAACTCCCTATGAGGTCACGAAGCGTGTGAAAGGGATTGCCGAAACGGACATGCGGTGGGCGGGAAGCCGCATGTGGACCCTGCCACTGGGGCCTTGGGTGGAGCTCTCTATGGGGCCAAGAAGCGCGTGATGGGTGTGCCGAACAGGTTGGCATGTGGGGGGGAAGAGGGAGGGATTGGAGGAAGGAGGGGGATGATGATGACGGTGATGATGGTGATGGCGCTGCTGATGATGCTGCAAATGATGATGTTGATGATGATGAAAAATGATGATTCCGATGATTATGGTGATATTGGTACCAATGATATTGACGATGATGATCGTGATGATGATGAAGATGATGATGAGGAGGCTTAGACTTGGACTAGCTCATAGGATCCCTCTTCAGCCTAACCTTGAAAAAAGGGGTCGGTACACAGGAAAGCTTGGACCCAGTGGGGCGAAACCGTTTGGACGCCACATTTGAAGCCAAAACTGAGCCGCGCGCACTCCTGGGAGGAGGCCCAAGGAGGGGCTCCCCCCAGCCTCTGCTGAGGAGGGCACCCCCAAGGGGAGGCGCCTTCCCAGCAAGGCCGAAGGGGGTGTCACCCAGACCCCTCTCCAGGCAAACTGCCCGTCAAGTGGGGCAATCCCCTCGCGCGGGGCATTTGGCCCCGAAAGCGCGGTCGAGCGCTTCTGGAACCCTTACCGCGCCCACTGGGAGCCTTACGAGGAAGCTCGGTCGCGGGGGTCGATTTCGAACGATCGGCCAGAAGCCTGCAACTCCGAAGGCCGCTTGCTCCCAGACCAATCAAGAAACTTTCCACAGGCGGAGGCGGCAAAATCTCATTCACTGGGGTGCTCACCGCTCCGCTTCCTGCAGCCTCTCCCGCCGCCGCTGCTCCCAACGTCACGTGGCTCTGTCCAGGTCCGCAGTATCTTACATCTCGATGATCATGCGGCTGAGCTCCCTGAAGAGCAGACCTGGCGGGGCTGCGCCTCCCTTGAACTTCGCTTTCATGTCGACCATCGCTCCGCTCAGCAGAGGCGATGTGTTCGGTCCGTGCGCGTGACCCAGCTCCACCGCGTAGAAGATACGATGTTTGCCCGCGCCTTTCTTCTCGGCGTCCTTCTGCGGCTTGCCCTTGTTCACTTTCCAGCGGAAGTAAGGTACGAGAGCCGTGATATCCTGGGGATTGCACTTCATCACCACGTCCTTCCACAGCTCGGCAAGCCCTTGGTCAGCGGTTCGTTGCTCAGGTTGCCTGCGGTTGCCCACCACTTCACCGACGCCGCGAACACCTGCACGTGCGGCGGGCACCTGCTTTCGTAGTTGACCTCTTGGCCGTTCTTTGCCTGAGCGCGCATCTTCTTTGACTGGGCCTCGTGCGCATTTCTCGCTGCCACTTGCACCTCTGAAAGACCACCTTCCTGCAGCTCGAACCTGTTGAACACGATGGCGGCCAAGTCCTAGAACTCACGGGAATCCGCCAATACGAGGCGGCCCATCGTCTTCACCGCCTCGCGCAATCCTTTGCCGCAAACGTCTTCCTCCTTTCTAGCCTGCATCTGAACCGGTGGAGTGTCGGCGTCCCTCTCGATCGGGTCGGCCAGGAGGAGGAGGAGGAGGAGGAACGCGGGGCGCTGTCTCTTCAAAACGAGGGCCCAACACCACATGATGGTTGGGAACAAAGGAGGTCCAAATGGGCTTCCTCGGTTGGCGCTGGGCGTCCCCTGGCGGCGTCTCCAGCGACGCCCCTGGCGCGCTTCGCGCGCCTGGAGGGGGAGCTCCAGCGCCGATCGACCCACGAGAGAAACCGGGGGCCCGAGGGGAGACGAGAACCAGTCGTGATCGTGCCATGACGCCCTGCACCTGAGGTCCCCCTGGGGCAATGAAAAAATCGTCGCTTAACCTCGATCGTCGAACCTCCAGCCTCCCACCCCCCTTCGGGCGACGGTCCACTGGCGCGTGAGCTCTCTCGTATCTCTCCCGCTGGCGGGCCAGGCTGCGGTTAGTAGCTAACCATCGCCCCCCGCCGCTTCTCCGCCGCTACGCAGGGGCCACTCCACACTCAGGCTTGCAACTCGCTTTTCATCCGAAAACCCTGGCACTGAGGCTCACCGCCCCCCCAGCGCTCCATCCCTCCTCCCCGCCCTCGGCGAGGACTTCGCCCACGTGGGCGAAGGCGACTGTCGCTCGGCTGCCCGCGGCTCGCACGCCAGCTCCCGACCCGTGGTGCTCTCTGGCCGGGGAGCTCGCCCTCCCATTTGCGAAGAAGGGGGGGGGGGAGAGAAACGACCGGAAGGGGTAGGAGGAGGAGAACGAACGCTTCGGCCCCCGCTGGCCCAAGTCCGCCCAACGCCCAAAAAGGGGGAGGAGGAAGCTCAAACCTGCACCACTTTCCTGGTGGCCAGAAGCATCGCTGAGCCACCTCAGATCCCTAGCCGACTCCACCTGTGCATGCCCCCAGACCACTGGCGACCGAATCTCCTCCAGGGCGTCGTCCAGAAGCTGCTCGGTGCCTTCGGCGCCATCCGCAAGCGCCGCGTCCTGTCCGTCCAAGTCGGCGCTCGCCGGCGGCGGGGCTTCGGCCGCCTTCCGTGAGCTGGAGAACGGGTCCCCAGAGAACACGAAGCGGAACCCGCCGACCTGGGCAGCGGGCTTCTCCTCCTCCACCTTCCTGCTCTCTCTCGTCCCCCCCCCTCTTCTGTGGTAAACCATGAGAGCCCATCCTGTTGGCTCTTGCGAGTCGACGCTGACCGACGCTAGTCGACGCTAACGCTAGTCGACACGAGCTCGACCTAACCGCCGCCAAATCGCCGCTACCTTATCGACTCTCAAATCACGAGTGCACTCTAACGACGGAATTGCGAGGGTATATACGGCCCCCTATTGATTCGTCTTTTAGGCGCGCGCCCGTCAGCCCATTTAGAAACGACGCCCAGGCGAGCTAAAGTGAACCGGGAAGTGTAGGAGCAAATAGGGGTACAGCCGAACCGTTCGAAGGAGGAGGAGGATGAGGCGGAGAGGGAGGATGGAAGGATGGATGGATGGATGGATATAGGAGGGGGGAATATGATGGATAGCAAAGAGGGAGACAGTCGTACTGTTCGAAAGTAAGGAGGAGGAGAAGAAGGATGGATGGATGGATGGATGGATGGATGGATGGATGGATGGATGGATGGATGGATGGATGGGAGAGGAGGGGGAGGAGGAGGGGGAGGAGGAGGAGGAGGAGGAGGAGGAGGAGGAGAAGGACGAGGAGGAGGAAGATGAGGAGGACGAGGAGGAGGAGGAACAATACAAAACACGAATGATGATACGAATCTGATAAGCTGAACATAAAGAAAAGGATACCAATCATGATGATAATACGACGACTAATAATACAAAGAAGAAGAAAACGATGACGAGGAGAAGAAGGGGGAGGAGGGATGAGGGATGAGGGATGAGGGATGATGATGATGATGATGATGATGAGGAGGAGGAGGAGGCGGGAGGATGATGAATAAGATCGATCTCTGTCTCCCCACCTTTCTCTCCCCCTTCGGGCACCCCCCCCTCCCCGGAAGCTGAGCTGTCCGTGGTCGCTCGACGCCCCCTCCCTCCCCGCGGCTCCTCCTGCCGCTCCTCCTGTCCTGCTCCTGTGGGCCGATGGAGCTGACTCCGACGCCCTCCAGCAGCGAGCGATGGAACGCATCGGCTAACAGGGAGGCAAAGAGATTAGGGCGACGAGATCTACACAACCCATTGCTCCTGGCCAGGCCCATCCTGGGCCTAGGAGCGATGTGTATGCCTCTCTGACCAAACCAGGGGGGCGTATACACAGCTCCTGGGACCAAGATGGGCCTGGCTAGGAGCAGGCCAGGAGAAGTGGATATGTATAGATCTCGTCGCCCTCGAGATGGGACGGAGACGCTGCAACTCTACCCCGAACTCGCCCCCCCCTCGGAGTCGGAGGTGCAGGGCGTGACGAGGGCCGGTCCTGCTCCTCCTCATCCTATGGCCTATGGCAGCGCTGGGACAGAAGAGCGCACGGCGGCATAAACGTTAATGTTCGAACGCCAGGGGAGGGAGGTGGAGCGCTGACCCAAACCTCCGAAAGCTGATGCATCAAGTTGGAGGGGTGAATCGGTAGATCGGCTTCGGTGTCGGCTCGTGTCGTGCGTGAAGCGCGTGCAAGAGAGGCGAAGCTGCGCGAGCTTCTGCACGGGGTAGGCTGAGGTCAGAACATTATTGATTCCACTCCCAGGGGGCCCAGGCGCGACCATGGGTTGCCCCGCGGTTGTCCTCCTGTGGACTGTGGCTTCTGTGGTTTTCCTGTGGTTGTCCTGTGGTTATCATCTGGTTGTCCTGAGGTTGTCCAGGGGTTGTCCCGATGATTGTCCCGCGGTTGATCTGTGGTTTGCCCGATGGTCGTCCCGTGGTTGTCACGTGCTTGTTCCGTGGTTGTCCCGTGGTTGTCCCGTGGTTGTCCCGCGGTTGGTCCGCGGTTGTCCCGCGGCTGTCCCGTGATTTTCCAGTGAATGTCCAGCAGTTGTCCCGATGGTTGTCCTGCGGTTGACCCGTCTGTAGATCGGAAGACAAACCGATTGACAGATAGATCGTGAGCCCGGTAGATAGGTAGTGAGATCGATCGATCAATGACGATATCAACAAATATCCCGATTACTGTCCCATGATTTCCTTGTGATTGCCCCGGTAAATACCACGATGTTGTCCTGTGGTTGGCCCGTGGTTGTCCCGCGGGTGTCCTGTCATTGTCATGTGGTGCTTCCGTGGATGTAACGTGGTTCCCCCGCGTTTGTTTCGCGGTTGTACAAATTGTCCCATGCTTCTCACTTGCTTGTCCCATGTTTGTCACGTGGTTATCCTGCGGTTGACCCGTCTGTAGATAAACAGATAGTGATACCGACAGATGAAAGGTGGGGTTCAATTGATTTGCCGTTGGTGGGGAGACGCCGACATGAAACGCGAGGTGCCTCAACCAGAATTCGTTTTTGTTTCGTGCGTGACGTGCGTGCGGGCAAGGCGGGGCGACGCTGCGCGAGCTCCTGCACAATTGCGGGCCAAATCAAGCCATAACGAATCGCCCGGTCTCCGGTTCGTGGCACCTGGTGGCCCAGTTGCCCCTAGTTGTCCCGAGGGTTGGTTGTCCCAATGGTTGTCTGGCAGGACCCCAATTGTCCTCATGCTTGTCCCCGTGGTTGTCCGAATGGCTGTCCCGACTGTTGTCCCGATGAGTGTCCCAATGGTTGTCCCGATGGTTGTCCCGATTGTTGTCCCGATGGTTGTCCCAATGGTTCTCCCGATGGTTGTCTCGAGGGTTGTCCCGATTGTTGTCCCCATGGTTATCCCGATAGTTGTCCCATTGGCGGTCACGATGTTTATCTCCATATACAGATCGTGAGATTGACAAAGAGATTGTATGGGAGGTCGGTAGATATGGAATGAATCCGACATATCAACTATATGTTGATGGGTGTGACAGATGGACTGCGTGACCATTATATGATATGTATGGCGCGTTATAAAGACAACGTGCCAAACCAACATATGATATACATGGCGGTACAACCAGATACAAATAGTCAAGCTATATAAGCGCACATACATATATACATATATATATGTGTGTAAGTGCATGTGTACAAAGACATACATGACCATTCCGTATCGGGAGATCAAGATACGCATTGCTATCCGCCCAACTGTATACGTAGATTTGGTTCTGCCACGATCCGAGCGTATGTGCATGAACCTCATGTATTGTATGCGCACGTGTACATGAAGTGCATGTACACTGTACACATACAGATACGTGTACGAATCATTACTTGAAACAGCTCATAGCTTAATTGTGCATGTGTCATTGAATATAGCCAACCCCGGCCCTTGAAAAGGTCACAGAGCCACTGACGTAGTTCCCTACAAATGATTTGCGCATGGGGTATACTGCATTTATAACGCGGGCAAGGCATATACGAATTGCCGTCAAGGGCATGCGAATCGCATTCGATGCGAATCGCATTCAATGCGAAATTATGTGCATCAGTGCAAGCAGTGGAATGACCAAAGCGGCAACGCTGTGCAACGAATTGCCATGTAACCAAACCGACGCAATGCAAAGCGAAACGAAGAGTAGCAGTGTTCACCACTGCAATGTGGATCACGACGCATTGCACCTGCACGTGCAACGGAAAGCAACCCACCATCATGACATGCAATACAATCCACAATGCTGCAACATACCGAACATGAGTCCAGGAACTCAGAGATCCCAGAGACGAGCCGTCGTAGAAACAGCCCAGGAGCACCCCAAGGGGAGCCCAAAACAGCGCCAAAGGGCACCCAAGAACCGCCAATGAACTCCCTGAGAGAGGACCCAGGGGGGACCTAAGCTTGATCCAAGGAGCTCCAAGCAGGCTCCAGAATGGGGCACAAGGGGGGGACCCATGAGGCGCCCCAAGAAAGCCAGATGACGGCGTCAGAAAGAGACGGCCCCCAACAAAAACACACCCTTAGCCTTAAAAGCACACCGTGAGGGCTCACGAGCAGCCCCAAAGGTGGCGTCAAGGGTGCCGCAAGGAGATCCCAAAGTTCCCCCGATAGTTCCTTGGAGAGCTAAAATGGTTCTAGATAAGAAGCCGGCAGGCAGGGCTACGCCAGCTCCTCTTCAAGGCTCCCGGGCAAGCATCCCCGCAATGCTTGAACTCGCACCGTGTTCCGGCCAGCGTTTTCCTACACGTTCCCAATACGCGTGCCTGAAGCCTTTCCGCAGGTCCTTCGCAGCTCCTGCGAAACTGTCTTTCCGAGGGCCGCAAGCTCCAAGGGCATGCTTCCCGGCGTCCTGGCACGCGTTTCCCACGCAGGTTCCCGAATATTTCCAAAGCTTGCAAGCTTTCCAGTCAAGCTGTCAAGCTGGCCCTGGGCAGGTCGTGAAGTTCCCTGCCAGCTCCTTGGAGAGCTCAGAGGGTTGTTAGATAAGAAGCCCGGAGGCAGGCCTACGCCAGCGCCTCTGCAAGGCTCCCGGGAAGACACCCTCGCAACGCCTCGCTTGAGCTTGCAGCGGGTCCCGAGGAACGTTTCCCTACTCGTTCCCAACACGCGTGCCTGAAGCCATTCCGCAGCCGCAGGTCCTTCGCAGCTCCTTCGCAACTGCATTTCCGAGGGCTGCAAGCTTTTAAAGCATGCTTTCCAGAGTCCTTGCAAGCGTCTCCCACAAACATTTTGCGCACTTTGGACTGCGCCCCTATCTGGGGTCCGGACGCCACAAATTGGAAGCCGACAGCGCTGGGTAGGCCAAACCCTCTCCAAGACTCCCGGTGAAGCATCCTCGCAGCGCCCTGCTTGAACCGGAACCGTGTCCCGAAAAGCGTTTTCCGACTCGTTCCCAATACGCGTGCCTGAAGCGTTTTTCTGCAGGTCCTCCGAACCTCCTTCGCCAACACTTGAAAGCTTGCGTTTCGAAGATTGTACGCTCCTCAGGCATGCTTTCTTTCCAGCGTCCTGGCAGGCGTCGCCCACAAGCAGTTTCTGATTCTTGCAAGCTTCCTAGGCTTGCTGTCGAGCGCCCTTGCAAACGTCTCCCACAGGCGTTTTAAGCGTTTCGGACTACGTCGCTATCTGGGTCTTGGACTGCACAAGTG